AGGGGCATGTGCCACAGAGTAAAGCTTATATAAGTTGTCAATTAAAACAGAAAACCACTTCAATTACACCCTTACCATCTAGCTCCCCTTTCCTTTAGATCCCATAAGAGAAGGCTCAGCAATAACCTTTGACCACTTCCCCCGAGGAAGCTCACTCGCTGTCTCCAGCAGCATTTACAGTCTGAGCTGGCTCCTTTCCTTTGACAAAAGCTTCATCTCTACTATGATTATTCCTTTTATTTTTGAAATTAATATAATTACATCATTTCCCCCTTCCCTTTCCTCCCTCCAGAACCTCCCACATATTAATCCCTGCTCTCTTTCAAATCCATGGCTTCTTCTTTAATTAACGGTTGGTTGTTACCCACATATATGTGGATGTATATTCCTAAATATATATATATTATACACACACACACACACACACACACATATATATATATATGTATAATGTTATTTGCAGGTATGTTTTCAGAACTGACCGTTTGGTATTAGGTAACTGATTACTCTTCTCTTCTCTAAGACTGTTTCTTCTACTCTTGGCATCCCTAGGAGTCTGTAGTTCTTAGCGTGGGTTGAGAGCACTGTCTTCCCCCCATTCAGCTCATGTTTGGGTGGTCATGTTGGTGAGACTTTATGGGAGGGGCCTCTGACACTCCTAGGAGACACAGTTTCACAGCAAACTCCTCTGGCTCTTACAATCTTACTACTCCTTCTCCTGAAATGTTCCCTGAGACTTAGGTTCAGGGGTTGTTTTGTCGATGTATCCAGCTGGACTGGGCTCCAGTTAATATATTCCAACCTGTTAGCACCTCTTCTTCAGTGTTCTGAGTACAACGACATCAAGAACCCCAGGGCCCCACTCCGACCACTGGTAACAGGGACCCTGCTGTGAGTTTGAGGCCTCAAAAACAAAAACAGGGACTAATGAGGTGACTCCCTCACACATAAATAGATAAAATAAGTGTAATTTAAGCATTTATAAGAGTCGGGTGGTGGTGGCGCACACCTTTTAATTCCAGCACCCGGGAAGCAGAGGCAGGCGGATCTCTGAGGTCAGCCTGGTCTACAGAGTGAGTTCCAGGACAGCCAGAGCTATGACACAGAGATACTATCTCAAAAAAAAAAAAAAAAAAAAAAAAAAAAAAAAAATTAAACAGGCATCAGCTACCGAGCCTGACAGCCTGAGTCTGCTCCTCAGGTGAACAGGGGGAACTAACTCCCCCACCCACCCACCCACCCACCCACCCAGGTTGTCTTCTGATCTTGACAAATACATGTGAACTTGTGCACACACACACACAGCCACAAAAGTCAGGGGCCAAGAATGAAGAAAGATAATGGGATGCAGGGAAAACAGAAAACATTCACAAAAGCCTCCCTTCTTTCAATTAATTTATTCATGGCAGCAATGAATTTATTCATGGGAGCCCTTAACAGAGCCAGTCAGGCACACGGCAGCTTTGTGCACTGTTTATATTCCAGATGCTTAGGATGTTGCTTCACTTAGTGGGGAAGAATGAACTGAAGTGCCCAGAGCACATATATCTTGGGTTTACCTGGAGAGACGGGGTTGAAGATAGCACCCTGAACATTCACTACATGCTGTGTAAGGGTTGAGAACAGCATAGTTACTGAGAACTCCTGGCCTGTCTTTTTCTTATTTATTTGTTGTTTGTTTGTTTACTTCTTTTTCGAGACAGGGTTTTTCTGTGTAGCTTTGGAGCCTGTCCTGGAACTCACTCTGTAGACCAGGCTGGACTCAAACTCACAGAGATCCGCCTGCCTCTGCCTCCTGAGTGCTGGGATCAAAGGCGTGTGCCACCAATGCCTGGCTTGTTTATTTATTTATTTATTTTGAGACATGATTTCCTTATGTGTAGTCTTGAGCAGCCTGGAACTAGCTGTGTAACCCAGGCAAACTGCTGGCGACCTTCCCACCCCAGCTCTGTAGTGCTGGAGAGGCTGGGGTTGCAAGTGAGAGCCATGGCTCCGAAGCCTGCCTCTTCCTCTTAAGTCAAAGCAGCTGTGTGAGTCGGTAGCAGAGTTGTTTTTATGTTTTATCTCTCTTGCTGGGCAATGAACTCAGGGCCTTGTACATGCCAGGCAACCACTGTACCTCTGCTCTACAACTGCTTTTGAACAAGGAAACTCTTCTTTGAAAGAACAGGACCCTAAATATTGTCTTACGTAGGGTTTCTATTGCTGTGATTACCAAAGGCAAGTTAGAGAGGAAAGAAAGGGTTTATTTGGCTTACACCTTCTATTTCTTCTTCTTTCCTTTTGTTTGTTTTGTTTTTTGGTTTTTTGAAACAGAGTTTCTCTGTGAGCCCTTGGCTGACCTGGAACTCACTCTGTAGACCAGGCTGGCCTTGAACTCACAGACATCCACTTGCCTCTGCTTTCTGAGTGCTGTGACTAAAGTTGTGTGTGCCACCACCGCCTGGCTGGCATTTTCTTAATTGAGATTCCTTCCTCTCAGATGACTTTGGCTTGTGTCAAACTGACATAAAACTATCCAGCACACCCACCAAACGGAGGTGACCGTGTGACAATGTGACAGGCTATTTGATTAGGGGGTAGATGCTAAGGAATCTTAGCATCGTCACCTGGTGGGAGGCACGCCACCACTGCTGTGCTGACTATCAAATCTGAGTTCATGCCTGTAGCGAAGCCATGTTTGTCTACTGAACTACATCCTAGTCCTGAAAAGAGTAATATGGCCAGATGAAGTCTTTGTATATACTACCATAAGAAGCCCTGGGTTGCTGGGCAGTGGTGGCGCACACCTTTAGTCCCAGCACTCGGGAGGCAGAGGCAGGCGGATCTCTGTGAGTTCGAGGCCAGCCTGGTCTACAGAGTGAGTTCCAGGACAGCCGAGGCCACACTGGGAAACCCTGTCTAGGAAAACAAAAAATGAGAGAGAGAGAGGTTCTGGGTCAAACTTTGAGCCCCTCCCTTCCTGTCACCACATAGATTTGGAGAAAATTCACAAGTTTCCATTTCTGAAAAGATGAGGTGACATCCCTAGCTCACATGTTTGTTGTGGGTTTGGAACTGGGTACTGGAAATCGAAGCTGCAGCCTCAAGAATATTAGGCAAACACCAGCCACCCCCTCACCTTCTATTTTGAGATAGTTGTTTCCCTAAGTTGGTCAGGCTGGCTTGACACTTCCGGGCCCCCTGCCTCTGCTGGCCTCCATTAATGGTTGCGCTCTTGCTTTTACTAGTGTAACCGTTATGCGGGACATCTAAGAAAAGCCAAGAGTAGATAGGCCCTTGGGATGAGGGCGAGGGGCGGGGGCAGCTGGAGAGATGGCTCAGTGGTTAGGAGCATTGCTCTTCCAAAGAACCAGAGTTCGACCCCCCCCACCCATGTGGCAGCTCACCCCAGTTCCAGGGGATTCAACCACTTCTCTTCTGCCCTCCATCGGTGCCTAAATTCGTTTGCAGAGACTTGAAGACGTGAAATCCAGCTCCATGTCAAAGTGGAGAGAGATAACCGACTCCACGAAGTCTTCTCCCGGCTTCCACGTGCACATGGCAGCACGCAGCGCTCCCCAACATACACACGGTAATAATAACAAACTAATTTTTAAAAAATGTATCAGCTAGACATGTGGTGCGCGTCTGTACTTGGGAGGTGAAATAGGAAAGGTCATTCTGGGTCTCAGATCAACACCAGCCTCAGTATCATCAAATATTCGAGGACAGCCTGAGCTATATGAGACCCTGTCTCAAAAACAAAACGCAAACAAAAGAAAGGCTTTTAGCTAGTAGCCTTCGCCCAGGGGTAAGGGGCAATAAGTTCTCCAGGCAAGCTCTGGAACGCCAACCTAAGGGTTGGGAAATGCAACGGGCTGGGCACCAGGAGGCGCCCGTCGGACCCGCCGGGGACCTAGCAACCCAGGGTACGCCCGCCACACCACCTCCAGGGCCGGGAGCTGCGCGGTTGGTGGGCGCCCCTCTCCACCGTCCCCTCCGGGTGTGAGCGCCGCGGTGGAAGAGAAGCGGGAACGCACGGACGGACGGCGCGGTCGGTCGTCCCAGCGTGGGCTCGGTCGGAGACAGCTGTTCTCTGCGGCGGCCGTGGGGGGCAGCAGAGGGGACCGCGACAGGTGCGGGAGCCCCTCCCCGGGCAGAAGTGGGAAGGCGGGCTCCGGGTGTGTTCCCAGGCTGGAAACCACCCCCGCCCCCCAAACAAATCCCCCCGAGAGGCCGGGCCGGCGCCGGGTCTGCGGGAGGAAGCGGCCGGAGACAGAGCGATTTCACGCGGCCTCCGGGGCTCGGGTTCCCGGGCCGGATACATGAGTTCTGTGTGGGGCTTTGCGTCCCGGGGAAACTGAGGTGGCATGACGCTAGGCTGAAAAACAACCTCCCACTCAGAAAAAACAGAAATATTCACACTCAGAAAGGGAGGGAGGAAGGAAGGAAGGAAAAAAGAAAGGGAGAAAGGAAGGAAAAAGGAAAGACAGAAAGGAAGGGAAGAAAGAAAGAAAGAAAGGAAGGAAGGAAGAAAGAAAGAAAGAAAGAAAGAAAGAAAGAAAGAAAGAAAGAAAGAAAGAAAGAAAATCCCTCAAGTGATCCAACCGGCTAGGGGAGTTGAGTGATTTGGTTAATGGGCGAGGCCAGCTTTCAGGGGGCTGGGCTTTGGCGCTCTCCCCATCCGCATTCACTACCTTTCCCCGGCCTGGGGACATTTGGATTCTTCATCTCCTCCTGACCATTTCCCGGGGAAATTGCTAGAGTGAGACCCCTCCTTGACCCTCTTGGCCAAGCTGCGGGCTGGCAGGGCGCGCTCTAGGCGGGCGTCCCAGGCTGCAACCATCGGCGACTCCAGCCTCGCACTGGAGGGGGCGCGGCCGTGACTCACACCCCCTTCCCCCTTTCCTCCCTCCCTTCCCTCCCTCCCGCCTTCCCAGACAGACACCCTCCCTTGCCGTCCCGCTCCGGACTCCGACTCCGGCTCCTGTTTGCAGTCTGCAAGCTCCGCTACCACCACCTATCCGCCGGGCTGCCCAGGTGGCTGTCGCTTCGATGTCCTAACCCAGGGGCCCCCGGGCCAGACTCGGCTGGGCTCCCTTCACCCTCCGCTGGAATCATGAGGGCGATTGGGACTCTGCAGGTGCTGGGCTTCCTTCTCAACCTGGCCCGGGGTTCCGAGATGGGCAACTCTCAGGCAGGTAAGCGGCGCGGGGAGCACGAGCAGGCTGGAAGCGGAGAGCGCGACCCGAGCGCGTGCAGACCCTGGGCAAGGGGTTCGGGTTCGGGCGCGCTCAGCGGGGGTGGGGGTGCGACCCCATGTCTACTGGCACCTCCTAGGAGGGGACCGTGTGGCTCGGGTCTCGGAGTGGGCTGGGCAGGGACTGCATTCCTGGATGCCTATCCTTCTCCCCCGGGCGTCGCTGACCCTCTGATGGGTGTTTTTCTGATCAGGTTGATGTGAACAGTAGTTCTGAGAGCCTTGCAGAGAGGGACAGACAGGGACCCTTCTGTAAGCCCGAGGGGCCTTGGCTTGAAGGCTCTGTGTTTGCTGTCCTGGCTCTCTGGTCCCCACCACACCACACCCCAGGTTTCAGCAACCCCCAGTTTCGTTGTTTTGCCGACAGGGCGGAGCTATGTAAGGGTTGAAGTTGTTGTTTTCTGATGTTGGAAAAACAAGAATGGCACCTCCTCTTCCGTGAGTGGGGCTGCCCTGAGAAGGCTAAGATTAACCTGAGGGCCAAGTCCAGGTGACTTCAGGGTGAGAGGCCTCAAGGCTGGCTGGTTGGCTGCCTGCCTGCCTGCCTGCCTGCCTGCCCACAAGATAAGCTGGTCCCCAACTTAACTAGCTTCTCTTTACCGAGACCCAGTCGACTCAGTCAGTTAACACGTTGAGCATCAACTCTGTACTGTCGTCCCATTCCCTGAGCTGGAGGTGTGGGGGGAAGGACAGGTGGCCCTAGTCCTCTCCAGTCTGGGTCACCTCTCCTACCTATTCCGTGAACTCGCTCCCAGACCCAACTTTTGCCCTCCCCCCATTCAGTTTATTGTCTCGCTTCAGACAGAGGCCAGATTGTACTTCTCTATACCTCCTGTCCCATGCCATCTGAGCCCATTCCTCGGGCTGTCTCTGGGACTATGGGCACCTGAAGAGTTCTGGAGTTGGTGTGATTAGAGTCCTCTTGATCTCGATTCACCCCCACCCCGTCCAGCTTGGGGTACAGCCAGGGCCCCTTCCCCAGAGTGGGGGTGGGAGAAACCACCTGTGCCGTCCCCCACAGTTGCTGGGCCTAAATTTAGCCCCTGGGATCTTGAGATGTGAACACTCCCAGCTGGTGGAGGGGGTGGTCTGGAGACTGCAGGGGGAGGTGCCATGGGAGTGCCCGGATCGCTCTTCCATCTGAGGCCCCCCACCCCCGCCCCAACCAGGAACCCAAGGGTCCGGGATTCCCACCGGGCATGGTTGGGTGTCTCTACCCTTTATCTCTGTCCTGCAGCCTCTGGGCATCCGGCCCTGTCTCAAGCCTTGTATAGCCCCTTTGTCCCCTGGTGTGTGTGGCTGGGGCAGTGGAGGGGAGATTTCTGAGGGGCAGCACGTTCTTGCTCTGTCCAACCCCAGCCAGTACTCCCCACCTAAGACAGGCCCCGGTATTGCTAGGTCCCACCAGCAGGCAGTTCTTGCTGCTTCCTTGTGGTGGTCCCCAAGTTGCCTGGCTCCTCCTGGGTAGTTGTTTATACTCCTGTCCTGCCCAGGCCCTTTGCCCCTGTTTGTGAAATGCGGACTTTCCCCTCAGGGTGACACCTGTAAGGCTTCTCAAAGCGTAAGTGCAAGGTGTACAAGGCACTGTGGGCCGATAGGATGGACTGGCCACTTGTGATACCTCTCAATGCGGACTCCAGGGGCAAAGCAATCTATATTTCTGAGCCTGGGGAACTGTGTACATGTTTGTGTGCCAGTCATGAAAGGTGTTACACACACACACACACACACACACACACACACACACACACACACAACTTCCGTATACATAGCCCCTCCCTTATCTGGGAAGGAGGGTTGCCTTAACTTGGAAGAGGGGTGTCCTGCCTGGAAGGGGACAGGGGTGGGGCTGTTTCAGAAATGACTAACGAGTCTTTCACTTCAGCCCAAGGACCCTGGGGTTCCCGGGTGACTCTAGGCTGTTTATGCCTCCTCGCTGGGACTAGCTCACACCCCTTGCATCATGGAGACTGACAGGGAAGGGGATCTTAAAGAAGGGGTCAGACCAGAGGTGTATCTAGCAGGGGGAGCCGGGCTTCTGACGCCTCCCAGTGTTGCGCTCTTACCTGCCTCGGGGAAGGGTGGTGAGAACAGGTGGTTCGTACCCCTCACCCCCACCCTGCCCATATGCTCTTCCACTGTGTAAGAGGGAAGATCCATAGAGCACCAAGGGCCAAGACTTCCAATACCCACTGCCTTCCCTTTTTACAAAGGAAAGTGAAAGCCGGAGCTTGGGAGTGTGCGGACAGGTGACCCTTCTGGGTTCTTCCCTGGAGTGCCTGCCTACCCGGGAGTATTGCCAGGGTTAGAAGTGTGTAACAATCCCGCTAACGGTGAAGCTGGGAAGAAGGCCGCAGAGGGAGTGGAGGTTCTGTTCCATTTCTCTCCAGGGCTGGAGAGATGCTGGCGGAGCTGGAACATGCTGGCATAGGGGAAGGGAAGCCAGAATTCAGGAAAGGGGAGGCCGCCAGCTCCTTATCCAGCTTTGGAGACAAAGCTCCCATTGACCCCCACCCTACTACCAGGGTTTCTCCCTCCAGTGAGGTCACTTGTCTGGGCCCAAAGCTGCGGGGTAAGAGGGGGGTGCTGCTGAGGATGGGATGTCTGGGATGGGGTGCAGCAGCCCCCTCCTCCTGGATAGAATCGCCTCATTGTGGGCTGAACTGTGGCCCTAGGCACTGCCCCCACCCTCTGCCCCCATCCCACCCTCTGCAGACACAATAGGGTCTGTGTGCTAGCCCCAAAGAGATGTTTATTCCAGGGCCTAGAGAGAGGCAGGGTGGGGGCAGAAGTAAGTGCCTTAGTTGAGGAGAGGGCAATCAAAGTTTGATCCCTGCCTAACGCGTCCTTTCTGGGGAGAGGAAAAAGTCCCCTGATGTCTTCCTTCCGTTTTAACCCCTCAGTGCCCAAATTAGTGCCTGAAAGAGGCCCTGTGGGGACCGAGGTGAGGACACATTTCACCTTTCTGTTTGGAACGGCCAGGGGGTCATGAGAAGTGAGGAGACCCCAGCCTGGGAGGCCTAGCTGGCAGGGTTAGAGGCAACTGGATGTAACTGAGGGGGGGGCTTCCATGGAGGGGGCATCTACCTATCTACCCCACCTCCATTTTCACAGTGTGTCCTGGGACTCTGAATGGGCTGAGCGTGACCGGTGACGCCGAGAATCAGTACCAGACGCTGTACAAACTCTATGAGAGGTGTGAGGTGGTGATGGGCAATCTGGAGATTGTTCTCACGGGACACAATGCTGACCTTTCCTTCCTGCGGGTGAGTGTGCAAGCCCCTCCCTCAACCTGTCACCCCTTGGCTGCTCCTACTTCTCCCCCCCCCATAGAAAATGCTTCCCTTTCTCAGGCCACCCCATTCCTGAGACTCAGTAGCTGGCAGGCTCAAACCTGTGTCCTTAGGAAGACAGTGGCGTGCAAGCGTGCGTGCGTGCGTGCGTGTGTCTGGTCCTGTAACCAGGGGTGTCTTGGAAGCTGGTCACAAGAAAGAACAAGTGGTGAACTGTACTGTAAGCCACCCAAGGACCCAGAGGCACCTGGACAAAGGGACTAAGCCAGAACCTTCTTGTTATGAGTGACTCTGGGAAGAAGTAGGAAATGTGGACCCTTGGTCATCTCTGTGGCTTGGCTGTTTGCTCATGAAAGTAGCACAGTGGTGTGACAGCCTATGCCCTACAAACTAGGAGCTAGAAAGACCTCAGAGCTGGGGTTTGAGCAGTGGCGGGCTGCTTGCCGAACACGCTTGAGGGATCAATTCCCTGAGGAAGCTAAGGCTGCTTCATTGAGCCCCGGGTTCAGGACCAGTGAGTTCAGGACTGGAGTCTCAGGGTCATTGTGGCTCAGTGGTAGAGCACTTGACTAACATTAGAATGATAATAATAAAATAAAAAGGGTTAAGAGTTCCTTCCTCGGTGCTTTAAGGGAAAGAGGGGTCCCACGTTGTCCCTTTCACTGACATGACCTGCTCTGTCATAGTGGATCCGAGAAGTGACAGGCTACGTCCTTGTGGCCATGAATGAATTCTCTACGCTACCCTTGCCTAACCTCCGAGTGGTGCGGGGGACCCAGGTCTATGATGGGAAGTTTGCCATCTTTGTCATGTTGAATTACAACACCAACTCCAGCCACGCTCTCCGCCAGCTCCGATTCACCCAGCTTACGGGTTAGTGACCCCTTCTGGTCTTGCCCTCCCAACCTCCCTGCCTCCCAGCACGTCCTTGATGATGACCCAAGATTGCTCACTCTAAGCTCATGTTCTCGGCTACCCACTCCCTTGCTGGTCTGAAGCCCACCGCTCTTTAAGCGGTGGAGGGCCCCAGGAGGGGAGCTGGGGGCATCTGCTCCAGGAAGGAGGGACCTTCCCTGGGATTTTACCTTTGCCCTGGCCAGCTGCAAGAGCTCAGTGGGCTAAACACCACCTGGGCACGCTCTCCGGCGAGCCCCCCCCCCCACTCAGGTAACCCTGGGGGATTGAATGGGGATTGGATCAGGATGCCCTGTTCTTCTTGCCCCGCCCCTCCCCCACTGGCTAAACCGGATCTGAACAGGTGTCTGAAGAGGCAGGAGATTCTTTGGCTCAACTCCTCCTCTGCTAGGGTCAGCCGGTTTTTCCTGAAGCCTGAACCTGATTGGAGCACCTGTGGGCCTGGCCCACGAGCCCCCTGGGCCTGAGTGTCCTTTGGATTGGTGGAGAGGAGTAGTCGCGCGGTGTGGTCTCCAGCCTGTGGCCTTTCTTCCCACCACAGAGATTCTGTCGGGGGGTGTCTATATTGAGAAGAATGACAAACTCTGCTATATGGATACGATCGACTGGAGGGACATCGTGCGGGTTAAGGGTGCCGACATCGCCGTGAAGAACAATGCTAGAAACTGTAAGTGGTGGTGACGGAGACGGCCATGCTTGTCTCAGCAAACCTAAGCGACTTCCTTCCCATCCCAGCTTTCCCAGACACTTACCTCAGGCCCCTTGACCCAAGAGCCTGCCTCCCAGGAGGGAGCAGGCCAGTCTCCTGGAGCCCAAACTAGGGGTGTGGGGAAGATGCCAAAATTGACTGGATGCTAAGCAGGGAGACCAGAACTCTGCTCTAAGCCCTGTGGTTTCTGCCAATATGACATCTCTCTGCTGCCCTGACCTGGTCTACTGCTCTGGTCTACTCAGGCACAGAATCTGTTTGTCTGGGAGGAACCAAGTTCCTGGGATGGCATCTAACCCAGCCCCTCCCCTTCAGCTGCCCAGTGGGTAGTGTGGGGGAGTGGCCCTACCCCTTGTTGACAGGTTCACTTGTGCCCAGCCCTGCTCTCCAAGGGCAGGGAGGGGCACAGCCCAGGGCTCTTGCTTCCTGGGATTGAGGTGTTTGTGTGCTGACATCATACCCTGTCGATTCAAGCAAGCCTTTCCCAGTCAACCCTGATGATGCTCTGTGTTGTGTTGCTTCCCATGCAGGTCCACCCTGTCATGAGGTCTGCAAGGGGCGATGCTGGGGGCCTGGACCAGAAGACTGCCAGATATGTGGGTTTGAATTCCTCCTAAAAACTTAAAGCTCACACCCTCTCATACCCCTGCGCATGCAATCCGGCCTGTGCTCATCCTAACGGTCAGAATTCAGCCCTGACCGGCAGACTTCCTCTCTTTTCCTAGTGACCAAGACCATCTGTGCTCCTCAGTGTAACGGCCATTGCTTTGGGCCCAACCCTAACCAGTGCTGCCATGACGAGTGTGCAGGGGGCTGCTCTGGGCCCCAGGACACAGATTGCTTTGTACGTAATGGTGCTGTGTGCCTGTGCTCTGAGATGGGGGCACAGGCTTTGGGGAGCAGTGGGGGTGTATAGACAGTATAAGTGTTAGGAATCTTTTTCTTCCTTAGGCCTGCCGTCACTTCAATGACAGTGGAGCCTGTGTGCCCCGGTGTCCACAGCCCCTCGTGTACAACAAGCTGACGTTCCAGCTTGAACCCAACCCCCATACCAAGTATCAGTATGGAGGGGTCTGTGTGGCCAGCTGTCCCCGTAAGTGTTTGAGGGGAAGGGATAGTGGACCCAAGATTCGAGAGAAACGTTTGGGATGCAGAACATATTAAGTTCGGTGTTAACTCGGGGACCTAGATCTGATAGCGTGGCCTCAACCAGTGAGTGAGTTCTGTGTCACTGCTCCAGACCGAAAAGTTTCTGCACCCCGATAAACCTCTCCACTGATGCAGCAATCCAAATCTGACCAAATCAAACTGAATTAGAAAAGGCCCACATTTAAAGGATATAGTGCTCCCTGGTGGCCTTCCAGTTCCCCTGAGAGGAGACAGGAAAACCACCAGTCTGGTTTCTGGGGGACAGTTTAAATACCCTGGGGGAATAGCATCTCTGTGGGGCAGGCTTTCTGAGATGCAGCAGGGTTTGGAGGGAGATGGGGGGAGGGGGCTTGGATGGAACTCCACCATAACATCCCAGACTCTTTGGGTATGGATGCCAGGGGCTGGGGTGGTTTCCTCCTTAACGCTGACTGCTTTCCCTAGACTTCTAGCTGTGGCCATTTGGAACAACAGAGGGCAAAGGGGACTGTGAATGCAGCTTAGTTGACAGAGTGCTTGCCTAGTACACACAGAGTTTTGCGCTTGAGAACTGCAATGCCGTGAACTGGGAGAAATAGTGTGCTGTGTGCCCAGCACTCTGGGGTAGAGATGGGGGCCAGGGATGATCAGATCCTAGTAGCCTACAATTCTAGTTCTAGGGGATCTGATATCTTCTGGACCCCTTGAGTGCCAGGCACAAGTGTGACATGCATATGTACCTACAGGCATTCATATACACACGCAAAATAAATAGGAGACTGCAGAGTGGGCTCAGTGGTTAAGAGCACTGGCTGCTCTTCCAAAAGACCTGAGTTTGAGTCCTGGCACCTGTACAGGGGTATCTGATGCCTCTGACCTTCAAGGGCTCCTGTACACACACAGACAGATGCACATACACATAATTAAGCAGAACAAAAATATTTTTTGTTTTTGTTTTTTGAAACAGGGTTTCTCTGTGTAGCTTTGACTGTCCTGGAACTCACTCTGTAGACCAGGCTGGTCTGAAACTCACAGAGATCCACCTGCCTCTGCTGCCCAAGTGCTGGGATTAAAGGTGTGTGCCACCACTGCCAGGCCCAAAAATGAATCTTAAGACATTCTAAAAAAGGGTTTGAGGGGGCTGGAGAGATGGCTCAGAGGTTGAAAGCAGTGGCTGCTCTTCCAGAGGCCCTGAGTTCAATTCCCAGCAGCCACATGGTGGTTCACAACCATCTGTAATGACATCTGGTGACTTCTTCCGGCCTGTAGGTGTACATGCAGCAGAACACCGTATATATAATAAATAAATAAATCTTTTTTTAAAAAAGGAGTTTGAGGCCATCTTTTTAAAAAAATCTATTTACTTATGTACTTTATGTATATGGGTGTTTTGTCATATGTACATTTGCACACCAGAAGAGGATTTCTGGGACTCAGGTGGCTGTGAGCTACCATGTGGGTGCTGTTAACCCAATGAGCCATCCCTCCAGCCCCTAGGGGGCATCTTAAAAACAAAGAGGTACCTCATTTACAGGACGGACAGACCTGACAAACCCTAGGTTGTATGTGGAGCGAATGTAGTGCAGGGTAGGGCGGGGTGAGGGTGAGAAGGTCTTAGAAGTTGACAGTATGCAGGGTGTCGGTGGCGCACGCCTTTGATCCCCGCACTCGGGAGGCAGAGGCAGGCGGATCTCTGAGTTTGAGGCCAGCGTGGTCTACAGAGCGAGTTCCAGGACAGGCTCCAAAGCCACAGAGAAACCCTGTCTCCAAAGACCAAAGGGGAAAGAAAACAATAAAAAGAAAGCAGTTGACAGGGTATCTAATGGTGATCTCCGCTTTCCTAGATAACTTTGTGGTGGATCAGACATCTTGTGTCAGGGCTTGCCCTCCTGACAAGATGGAAGTAGATAAAAATGGACTCAAGATATGTGAGCCTTGTGGAGGGTTGTGCCCGAAAGGTGAGCCGGAAGCAGTGAAAAATTACACCCAGCCTTTTCCCTGAGGTCACCCAGGACCCAGCACTGAGACTCTTTTGTGTTTGCAGCCTGTGAGGGGACAGGCTCTGGGAGCCGCTACCAGACTGTGGACTCCAGCAACATTGATGGGTTTGTGAACTGCACCAAGATCCTGGGCAATCTGGACTTCCTTATCACTGGCCTCAACGGGTAAGAGACTGCTGCCCCGCCCTAAGCTCCGTCCCCATCCTCCTCCCTTTCAGTGGCTTAATCCCTCCATACGGCTGAGTAGAGATGTAAGGCATAAAGTCTTAGGAGCCACAAAGGACCTGAGGATGCATAACTCCACCTTCCACCTGGAGCTTGCATCCCTCAGGCCATCCCTAAGCAACACAGTATCACCCTGAGGAATGATATGGTACACAGACAGTGGAGGCCAGTGTGTAGACCAGCTAAAGTTTTCTAGAAGTTCTTCCTTAAATTTAAGTAAGAGGAAGCTGGAGAGACAACAGGTCACAGAGACAGGTTTACAGCTATCTATGCCTCTAGCCTTAGCGAAAACAATTGTCTATTTTTCGTTTTTTTACATTTATTTATTTTGGAGACTGGGTTTCTCTGTGTAGCCCTGGCTGTCCTGGCACTCGCTCTGTAGACCAGGCTGGCCTTGAACTCAGAGATCCACCTGCCTCTGCCTCCCACATGCTGGGACTAAAGGTGTGCGCCACCACTGCCCAGACACTTTATTTTATGTGTATGAGTATTTTGTTTACATATGTGTCTCTGTAGCATGCGTGTACCTGGTGCTCACAGAGCTCTGAAGAGGACGTTGAGTCCCCTGGAATTGGAGTTAAAGATGAGCCATTATGTGGTTGCTAAGACCAAACCCAGACCTTCTACAAGAGCAGCTACAGTTTCTCTGTGTAGCCCTGGCTGTCCTAGAACTCTATCTGCAGGTCTCAAACTCAGAGATCCTGACTGTGCCTTCTGAGTGCTGGGATTAAAGATGAGCACCATCATGTTTTTTGTTTGTTTTGAGCCCCTTTTTTTTTTTTTTTTTTTGAGACAGGGTTTCTCTGTGTAGCCCTGGCTGTCCTGGAACTCACTCTGTAGACCAGGATGGTCTTGAACTCACAGAGATCTGCCTGCCTCTGCCTCCCGACTGCTGGGATTAAAGGTGTGCGCCACCACTGACCAGGCTCGTTTTGAGCATTTTTTAAAAAACCATTTCTCTCTTTTCCTCCCTATACACACAGTTTTGTTTTGTTTTGTTTCCAATGAGATAAGGTCTCCATATGTAACCCAGTTTGGCCTTTGACCTTGCCACCCCTGTTCAGCCTAAGTTTTAGTGCTGATATTATAGGCGTGTGGTTTCACCTTTGTCCTAGTGTGTTTATTCTTTTATGCTGTGTGGGTGTTTTGCCTGCACGTATGTCTGTGCATCGTTTTCATGCAGTGCCCGAGTTGACCAGAAGAGGGCAGGTAGACGGTTGTGAGCAGCCCTGCGCCATTTCTTTTCTTTTTGGCATGAGATGCTCTGGCTGCATGTGTTTATAACCATGGAGTCACACCTCTACTTTGCTGAGAAGTTTTCACTGTTCCCCCAGAGATCCCTGGCACAAGATCCCTGCTCTGGACCCAGAGAAGCTCAATGTCTTCAGGACGGTGCGGGAGATCACAGGTGAGGAAGAGAGGCTTATTTTGCTGGAAGGAGCCGATGACCCACCATCGCACATCCCAGTTAAACCATTTAAGAAAAGTCACATTCTGCCGGGCAGAGGTAGAGCAGGCCTTTAATCCCAGCCTTTGGGAGGAGGAGGCAGGCGGATCTCAGTGAGTTCGAGGCCAGCCTGGGATACAGAGTGAGTTGCAGAACAGCCAGGGCTACACAGAGAAACTCTGTCTCAAAAACCAAACAAACAAACAAGTAAAATAAATAAGAGAGAGAGAGAGATCACACAGAGAACCTGAGTCAGGGAAAAGACACCACCCCCCACCCCCCCACCCCCCGGGCTTATGTGCCTCTCTCCAACCCTTCAGGATACCTAAACATCCAGTCCTGGCCTCCTCACATGCACAACTTCAGTGTTTTTTCCAACCTGACCACCATCGGGGGCAGAGCCCTCTACAAGTGAGTAAGGGGTGGGGATGGTGTCGTCTCTTTCCAGACATCAAATGGGCGTCTTATTATGACACAGGGTGCACTTCCCGGCCAACAGGCCCCAATAGTCTGCTAACACCAGGGGGCAAAGGCCAACAGGGAGGGGGAGGCCCAATTGTGGTGTTGTAAACTTCACATTGGGGAGACTGACCCAGGAGGATCACAGCAAGTTCAAGACCAGCTTGGGCCACACCGTGAGTTCAAGCCCTGCCTCAGAGATGTAGTTAAGACCGGTCTCAGAAAGCTGTCCCTCCAAAAGAGGGACTCCCTCCCCATGGTTCTAACTTAACCTGGAGCAAATGTGTTGAGTGGAAATAAATCCCGTGCGTATCTATATTTCCCCTTATAGTCAGTCTGCCTTCTAACTCTGCCTCTTATTCCAGCCGGGGCTTCTCCTTGTTGATCATGAAGAACCTGAATGTCACATCACTGGGCCTCCGGTCCCTGAAGGAAATAAGTGCTGGGCGTGTCTACATAAGTGCCAATCAGCAGCTCTGCTACCACCACTCTCTGAACTGGACGAGACTGCTTCGGGGGCCTTCAGAAGACAGGCTTGACATCAAGTATAATCGGCCTGCGAGGGAATGTGGTGAGAGGGAGGGGCCTGCCAGGGGTGGGAATCGGGGGTCGGGGAGGGAGGAGGGTTAGGGGCAGTGTGACCCCCGAAGTGCGAGTAGGCTTGAGGAATGGAGCTGGTGAGGAAGTGGGTGTGAGGGTCGAGGCAACAGAGGGAGGCTTCCTGGGAGTCCTGGGTCTCTTCCTAACGGTGTCTGTGTCTGTGTCTTCCAGAGGCAGAGGGTAAAGTGTGTGACCCATTGTGCTCCTCTGGAGGGTGCTGGGGCCCAGGCCCTGGTCAATGCTTGTCTTGTCGGAACTACAGCCGCGAAGGTGTCTGTGTGACTCACTGCAACTTCCTGAAAGGGTACAGTGCGGAGAAGGCCTGGGGGTGGGTGGAGTGGTCCAGGTGCTAATGATCTTTAGGCTATGAATGATTCTACCCGCTCTTCCTCTCCCCCCTCCCTGCCCCTGCTCCTCCCACCCCCCACTCACTGTGTAGCCCAGACTGGCCTTAAATCCTTCTGTCTAAACCTTCCAAATGCTGGGATTACAGCTATGAGCCACCATGTCTGGCTTGAGCGAGGGAGTGGGGGCTGGGAGAGACAGACAGACAGACAGACAGACAGGACCTCATAGTCCTGGCCTGGAACTTGCTATGCAGACCAGACAGGACTCGGAGATCTTCCTGCTTCTGCTTCCGGAGCACTGAGATTAAAGGTGTATGCTACCACATCTGGTCTTCTGTTGCTCTCTTGTTTGCTTGCTTCCCTGCTTGCTTTTGTTTTACACAGGATCTCACTCTATAATCCAGGCAGGCCTTAAACTCATGGAAGTCTTCCTGCCTTAGCCTCCAAAGGCTAGGATTAGAGACGTGAGCCACCACCCCTGGCTCTGTCGGAGGCTCTCTGCTTGTGTTTTGGTGGGCATGAATTAGAAGGCCTGCGCTACAGAATAGGGTCATGAAGGGCAGAACTTTGGAAGTGACCCCCTCTCTGTGTCCCCCACTGCAGGGAGCCTCGGGAGTTTGCTCATGAGGGTGAATGTTTCTCCTGCCACCCAGAATGCCTACCCATGGAGGGCATCAGCACATGCAATGGCTCGGTACAGTAGCAACCCTGGGATCTGTGAGGGAGATGGGGAATGTCTAGGGAACCATATGGCTGAATTTCCAGGGAAGCTGGAGAACCCTGGAATTTGTGCATGGAGGACCGTTATGTGGGAGGCTGGGATTAACACTGAGACCCCATTCTTGATGACCCTCTTCCACTCAGGGCTCTGAGGCCTGTGCTCAGTGTTCCCATTTCCGTGATGGGCCCCACTGTGTGAACAGCTGCCCCCATGGGATCCTGGGTGCCAAGGGTCCCATCTACAAGTACCCAGATGCTCAGAATGAATGTCGGCCCTGTCATGAGAACTGCACGCAGGGGTGAGTGAGGGCAGAGAGGAGGGGCTCTGGGGGAGAGTAGGGTCATGGAGGGAGAAGCAAGAGAGGTTTGGCTACTTAAGACTCACTTCCAGGGCTGGAGGGGTGGCTCAGTAGTTAAGAAGGCTAGCTACTGAGTGCAGTTCCCAACAACCACATGATGGCTCACAGCCACCTAGAGTGAGATCTGGTGCCCTCTTCTGGCCAGCAGGCATATATGTAGGCAAAGCACTGTAAACGTAATAAATAAATCTTCAAAAAAAAAAAAAAAAAAAAAAAAAGACTTCCAGCTACAGAGTGAAGGGCTGGAGGAAGAGAAACAAACCCACAACAGGAAAGCAGAGCTCGGGGTTTAATTCAGGAAAGGCTCATAGTGAGCGCCAGAGATGGAGGATGGAGGGTGGGAGTGGGGTGCCGTCTGTTTGGGGGTGAGGTTGGGTTCCAGGACAGGTTTGTTCTGAGACAAGCTTTTATATGTGGAAGGAGGGCTCTTGGACCTGAGTCTTTTTTTTTTTTTTTTAAATTACTTTATAGGAGTTGCATGTAAAAAAAAAAATATTTATTGTGTATATGGGGACAGTGTGTGTGTGTGTGTGTGCTATGGTATGTGTAGATCAAATGACAACTTGAGGAAGTTAATTCTCTCCTTCCCTTATATGGTTCCCAGGGATCAAACTCAGGTCCTCGGGCTTGGCAGCAGGGGCCTTTACTGCTGAGCTAGCTGTCTTGTTGGCCCAAGCCTCTATTGTCTGCTTACTAAGAAGGTGATTTTCTTTCCTAGGTGTAAGGGACCAGAACTACAAGACTGTTTAGGCCAGACAGAGGCATTAATGAGGTAAGATGGTAAGATGAGCTTGGAGATTGTGGAACCCAGGAATATTTGGGAGAAAGGTTGGGGGAAGATGCATTCTGCCTTTTTTTAAAAGCTGGAATTAAAGTATATGCCACCACTGCCTGGCTCATACCGCCTTTTAAAAAATATTATGTGTGTGGTTTTACCTGCATGTATGTCTTTGAATGATTTGTTTGCCTGGTCTCCTTGGATGCTTATGAGCCATCATGTAGGTGTTGGGACTCGAACTCAGGTCCCTCACAAGGGCAGCTCTTAAACACTGAGCCTTTCTCTAGTGTACCATTCTGCCCTTCTTTTAAAATTTATTATATGTATATGTTTTAAGATTTATGTATTTATGTTTAAAGTGTTCTGCCTGCATGTATCCCTGCTAGCCAGAAGAGGGCGCCAGATCCCATTACAGATGGCTGTGAGCCACCATGTGGTTTCTGGGAATTGAACTCAGGACCTCTAGAAGAGCAGCCAGTGATCTTAACCTCTGGGCTCTCTCCAGCCGCTGTGTTTTATAGTTTTTGTCTATTTTGCTTTTGTGACAGACAGGGTATCACTATACAGCCCTGACTGGCACAAAACTTGTTATGTGGACCAGACAGGCCTATAACTCACAGACATCCACCTGGGATTAAAGGTGTGTATCGCTACACCTACGTTTTAAAAAAGTTATTTTTTTATATGTGTGAGTAATGCCTGAGTGTGTCTGTGGACCACATGGGCCTGGTGCTCAAGGAAGCCAGCCGGGAGCATTGGAGTCCTCTGGATCTGGAGTTATGGATGGTTATGAGCCATGATGTGGGTTCTGGGAACCAAGCCTGGGTCCTATGTAAGAGCTCCTAATGGATGAGCCACCTCTCCAGTCCCCCCCCCCCCACACAATAAAGACTTATTTCATTTATTTATTTGGTTGTTTTGGGACAGGGTTTTTCTGTAGCTTTGGGGCCTGTCCTGGAACTCACTGTGTAGACCAGGCTGGACTTGAACTCACAGACATCCGCCTGCCTTTGCCTCCTAAGTGTGGATCTAGAGGCGTGAGCCATAGCCACCACCACCCCGCTCAACTTATTTTTAATTGCACGTATTTGTGTGGATATGTGCACTTGAGTGCAAATACACTCAGAAGAGGGTGTCAGATCCCCTGGAACTGGAGTTAAAGGTGGTTGGGAACCACCACTGGGATGTTGGGAATTGAACCCAGGTCCTCTGCAAGATCAGCCAGTGCTTTTAACTACTGAGCCACCTCCCCACCACCTTTGAAATTATATTTGTTAGTTATTCTTTGGAAGTTTGGTACATTATATAATGTATTTTGATCATACAAATCCACCATTATCTCCTGCCAGACCCCTCCCCCCCCCAGTGCCCTTAGCCTGTCCCTTTCCTGATTCCCTGTCCTTTTAATTATCGCTGTCAATAATACCGAGTCTATCATGCACGTGGGTGTGGACCCATCCAGCGGGGTCATTCTTTCCTTGATATATGTAGTCACTGGGCTCAAGAATCATGACTTCCGCCATCCCCTTCCTAAAACTAACCCACACTACCTTTGAAGGGGGATGTCTCATATTTAGGTTGACTCCTTCACTGCTCACAGATATTTGTGGAGGTGAATGCTAACTCAGATCTATACAATAGAAATGGCATTTGTGAAGCTGCTGTAAACCCAGGATGCTGGCCTTTTCTATATCTCACAGCAAAACCCATCTGGCAATGGCTGGGATGGTCGGACTGCCTGTGGCTCTTCTGATTCTGGGAGGCTCCTTTCTCTATTGGCGTGGACGCCGGATTCAGAATAAAAGGGCAATGAGGCGCTACTTGGAACGGGGTGAGGTGTGTATTAGCTTGGCTTTGGGGGACACCCTTACAGGCTGCTCCTGGGGATAAGTGGTAGGATGGGGGATGGGGGCTACTCCTCTTCTCTTGCCCTGGAATACAGTCCCTTTCTTCAAGAGGACAGTGTAGAGTTTTGGATACAGCTCAGAATGCTTGCTTAACATGTGAGAAGAAGACCTGCTGAATCCCAGAAACACACATGTGCATATGTGTACACACCAGTCCACACCAGAAGTGTGAACATATATTCTCACCTTGCTCTTGGTGTTTACCATGACTCTGAAGAAACTGTGTCCCTTCTCTGTGCCTCAGCTTATGTAACTTAGGTATAAATAACATTCATTGTTTGTATCTGGTGGGTAGATATAAGAGCCGATGGGTAGAGTGCTGGGCGAGAGCTTTGAAAAGCTCGCCAGACCATTTTGGTACATGGCGATAACTCCAGCACTGAGGCAAGACTAGCAAGTCTACCTACACAGCAAGCTCTCATCGTGAGGGGAGAGAGGGATAGAACCAGCCTTGTGTGGGAGGTCTTCAAGGTGGAGTATGACGGTGTCTCCTCCCCTTGTGTTGCTCAGAGGGAAACCAAGCCTCTGGGCCGTTCTCGTCAGCACAGCTTCCTCAGTCCTGTTCCTAGAAGGGCCTGTTCCTCAGTGAAACTACATAGCTATCCAGGACTAAAGGCTGGCTCTTGCTGCCCTCAGCTCCAGGCTCTGCTGCCCTTAGCATCCGCCTGTGGGGAGCAGGTGGGGCTGGGCCTGTGTGATTCGCCTTTCTGAGCTTCTTCCTATTTGCTCCTCAGAGCATTGAGCCTCTGGACCCCAGCGAGAAGGCAAACAAAGTCTTGGCCAGAATCTTCAAAGAGACAGAGCTGAGGAAGCTTAAAGTGCTGGGCTCTGGTGTGTTTGGAACTGTACACAAGGTGAGTGACTCACGGAAGTCTGGAGAGGTGGGAAGATGGCAGGAAAATAGGAGGATGATTTTGGCGAAAGATTTGACATGAAAATAATGACTTTTTTTTTTTTTTTTTTTTTTTTTTTTTATGTCCACCCCAAACTTTCCAGGGGGTTTGGATCCCTGAGGGTGAATCCATCAAGATTCCAGTCTGCATTAAAGTCATCGAGGACAAGAGTGGACGGCAAAGTTTTCAGTCTGTGACTGACGTAAGTAGAGAGAGGCAATTCCCAATGTGCTGGCAGACAGTGTGTGAGGTTCATGGTAGGCATGCTGTGCTGGGGTGTTGTTAGAGGGATGTGTGGAATGGGTGGATTGGGTGTTTTCGTGGACCTGTTACTAATATCTCCTACGTTTTGCAGCACATGCTAGCCATTGGTAGCCTAGACCACGCCCATATTGTACGTCTCCTGGGACTGTGCCCAGGATCATCTCTGCAGCTTGTCACTCAGTACTTGCCCCTGGGCTCCCTCCTTGATTATGTGAGGCAGCACCGTGGGGCATTGGGACCACAGCTGCTGCTCAACTGGGGAGTACAAATCGCCAAGGTGAGAGGGGTCTGGAGGAGGCCTGTGACAGCAGCCGTTTGGCTGGGGTCTGGGCAGCCCCTGTTGCTCAGTGAGTGCTCCCCAGCCCTGAGACCGCCCCCTCCTTTAGGGTATGTATTACCTTGAGGAACACAGCATGGTGCACAGGGACCTCGCCCTCCGGAATGTGCTGCTCAAGTCTCCTAGTCAGGTCCAGGTGGCAGATTTTGGTGTGGCTGACCTTCTGCCACCAGAAGACAAGCAGTTACTACACAGTGAGGCCAAGGTAAGGTGACGGGGGTGGGGTGGCCGGGTGGGGCAAGCATGGAATGTGAGGACTCTGTGAGATGTGTAGGTGAGCCATGGTCAGCCTGGGGAGAGGGCGCTGACTGTACAAACTTTACGTTCAGAAAACAAACGATGATAGAGAGCTTGAAGTTTAAAGACTACTGAAATTTGTGAACATTAACTGATAGCAACTTTATCTTTCATCTTCAGACTCCAATTAAGTGGATGGCCCTGGAATGTATCCACTTTGGGAAATACACACACCAGAGTGATGTCTGGAGTTACGGTGAGCCTATCTGGCTGCCCTGCAAGTCATCACCAGCCCAAGTCCCCCCCTAGCTTTTGTGTCCCCTCTTCTTAGGAACTCTCGGCCTGACTAATAATTTCTGGTCCTTGCATTAAAGCAAAGCCTACCTTCCCTTACTGTCTTTGAATAGCCGGGGTCTATTTTTCATACTTGCTTGTTGATCTCTTCCTATACCAGGTGTCACAGTTTGGGAGCTGATGACTTTCGGGGCGGAGCCCTATGCCGGGCTGAGGCTGGCTGAGGTACCAGACCTGCTAGAGAAAGGAGAGCGCTTAGCGCAGCCCCAGATCTGCACCATTGATGTCTACATGGTCATGGTCAAGTGTGAGTTGTTGGCTGACCCCTGCCTTTTCTAACTCACTAACTTCCTTTCTCCTCCATCCATGGCTGTCTTCTCTTCTGGCGCTGACCCCTCCATCTCATCCCCAGGCTGGATGATTGATGAGAATATCCGCCCGACCTTTAAAGAACTAGCTAATGAGTTCACCAGGATGGCCCGGGACCCACCTCGGTATCTGGTTATAAAGGTGAGTAGGGGCTACAGGTGTCAGGTCCTTAGAGGACAGGAGACCTGGTTGGAACGAGAGTCCACCTAATGGTTGTCCGCCCCTGTAGAGAGAGAGTGGACCTGGGCCAGAGCCCTCTGCCCTGACAAACAAGGAGCTGGAAGAAGTAGACCTGGACCTGGACCTGGAGGCGGAGGAGGACAGCCTGGCGACCACACTGGGCTCTGCCCTCAGCTTACCGGTGGGAACGCTTACCCGGCCGCGTGGGGTAGGATACCTTCCGACCGCACAGGATTCTGCCCCATGAGCCCTCATGAGACCACTTGGAATCACCACTCATTGGCCTCCATGCTAATAGATTTCTTCCTTCGTTTTAACCCTGGCCTTTCCTTTCTCATCCTAGAGCCAGAGTCTTTTAAGCCCCTCCTCTGGATACATGCCCATGAACCAGAGTAATCTGGGGGATGAATGTCTGGTAAGTCTGTCTGCTGCCAGAGGCTGGGGTGGCAGAGTCTTATAGACTTGGAAGTGTTGGCTGAAATGTGGAGGGAGATGCTTCAAATCTTGAAGATTTTTTATTTAAATTTGAAACAAATTTGTCTTACATGTCAGTCCCAGTTCCCTCACGCTCCCGTCCTCCCCTGTCCCTCCCCACCAACCCATCCCATCCCTTTTCTGCTCCCCAGGGAGGGTGAGGCCTTCCATGGGAGATCTTCAAAGTCTGTCATGTCATTTCGAGCAGGGCCTAGGCCCTCCCACATGTGTCCAGGCTGAGAGAGCATCCCTCTGTGTGGAATGGGCTCCCAAAGTCCATTACTGCACTAGGGATAAATACTGATCCTCTACCAGAGGCCCCATAGACTGCCCAGTCCTCCTGAGACCCACGTGCAGGGGGTCTGGGTCGGTCCTGTGCTGGTTCCCCAGCTGTCAGACTGGGGTTCCTGGGCTCTCCCTTGTTCAGGTCAGCAGGTTTCTCCAGCCTGGTCTTGACCCCTAATCTTGAAGGTTTACTCAACACCCTGCAATAGAGAAGGCTTTGAGCAACCACACCTCCTGCTAAATCTGTTTAACTCTCCTTGTACTGTCTCCTGTTATTTCCCCCTTAGGATTCTGCAGTTCTGGGGGACAGTGAACAGTGCCCCCGTCCCATCTCTCTGCATCCAATTCCACGGGGACGCCTGGCCTCAGAGTCATCTGAGGGCCACGTGACAGGCTCTGAGGCTGAACTCCAAGAGAAAGTGTCGGTGTGTAGAAGCCGAAGCCGAAGCCCTCGGCCACGTGGAGACAGCGCCTACCATTCACAGCGACACAGCCTGCTTACCCCTGTCACCCCGCTCTCCCCACCAGGGTTAGAGGAAGAGGATGTCAATGGCTATGTCATGCCAGATACACACCTCAAAGGTACCTGGCTCTTTCTCCGGCTTTGTCCTCAAATCTCCTAATCTTTTTCTCCAAGCTCCCTTATCTTTCATAGTCTCTGATGCCTCCTAGTCATTTGTTTTCTAGCTCACACCCACTCCTGGTTATTTCTCTGAATTTCTATACATACTTGCCATTTTTCTCCCCCGCAGGTGCATCCTCCTCCCGGGAAGGTACCCTGTCTTCGGTAGGTCTCAGCTCTGTGCTGGGTACCGAAGAAGAAGATGAAGATGAGGAATATGAATACATGAACCGGAAGAGAAGGAGCAGTCCACCTCGGCCCCCTAGGCCTGGTTCCCTTGAAGAGCTGGGTTACGAGTACATGGATTTGGGCTCAGACCTCAGTGCCTCTCTGGGCAGTACACAGAGTTGCCCACTACATCCTGTGGCCATCGTGCCCTCTGCTGGCACAACTCCAGATGAGGACTATGAATATATGAACCGCAGACGCGGTGTAGGTGGTGGCGGGGGCGATTATGCAGCCATGGGGTCCTGCCCTGCAGCTGAACAAGGGTATGAAGAGATGCGAGCTTTCCAGGGGCCTGGACATCATGCCCCCCATGTTCGTTATGCCCGCCTCAAAACTCTGCGTAGTTTAGAAGCCACTGACTCTGCCTTTGACAACCCTGATTACTGGCATAGCCGGCTTTTCCCCAAGGCGAATGCCCAGAGAACTTAACCTCTGCTTCTTGAGACTCTCGGGGAGCATTTGTTGGCAGCTAGTGCCTCTTGAGGGTACTCCTTCCTCATCCCTCTCGCTCAGGTCCCACCCCCATTTCTCCAGTCCTAGACAATGCCATTTGGTCTTTGGAGACCTGTAAACATATCCTCACAATTTTTTTTTTTTTTTGTGGTATGTAGCCAGCTGTGCACTTTCTTCTCTTCCCCCAACCCAGGAGAAGAGGTTTTTCCTTCTCTTTCCCAGTCCTCATCCCTCAGCTTCCTCGGGGAAACTCCCGGGAGATAAGAAGGATTACTCTCTAAGCCCCTTTCTCTCCGGCTCTTACTTGTTAGGATTGGACTTTGCCTTTGTTTCCCATCAGACTGTCCTAAGGAAGAGGAGATGAAGTAGATCTGGTGGAGGAAAGGAAAATCTTGGCTCATGAGACTCTTAATCCCATGGAAAGATTGAGAAGCTTAAAACGTGTGGAGAAAAAGTTAGGTGTAGGTACCAATAATTTAACATTTACTGAGCCACGCATCATCAAGCTGAACTCTGCATGCATTATCTCACTTAGGTAGAGCTGATCCCATTTTTACCAATACAAAAGTCCCCCTGAGTCTTCCGGGGTAGCCAATGGGTCCCTGAGTCTGTGGATAGTATCGAATCCTGTAGTTTTTGTTTGTTTGGTTTTTCATTTTTTCTAGACAGGGTTGTCCTGGCTGACCTGGAACTTGATCTGTAAAGCAGGCTGGCCTTGAGTTCAGAAATCCCCCCTGCCTCTGCTTCCTGAATGCTGGGACTAAAGGTGAGCATCACCATCACTTAGCCTTTAGTTCTTTAAAAAAATTTTTTTTAGTTGGTTTACAAAACTGAATGCTATAGCTTAGTGCCTTTTTCCATCTTACCTAAGAATCTATCATTCATTATGGTGGTATTATTTTTTTAGTTTGAAGTGCCACAGCAAAAGTAGTACTAGTTTGTCTATCTTCATAATTTCATGGATTTATTATAGATCTTACCATATGACTTTCCCTCTACATGAAGTCAAGAACTTTCTTTCACCTTTTCTCAAACAAACAAACAAAACACTTCTCTCTGGCATATCTGAATTGCCACATCGCTACTCTTGCATTCTGGGCCCAGGGTATTTGAACATAAGAACTGTGATACCGATGTTGGTCAGTCTAATAACAGGTGGGTTATGAAGTGACTAAGGTTATTTTGTATGGATGCACTATGCAAAGAGATGATTCGTCTACCAGATACAATCAAAAAGGATGGTTCTAGTTTCATCATGCTACTCAGAATGGTTTGCAATTTAAACTTTAGGGACTATTTATTTCAGGAATTTGTCATTCAATATTTTCAGGTTGTAGTTGACGATGGGTTATTAAAACTGTGGACAGCAAAACCTCAGATAAGGGGGGACTGAGCCTTGAAGAAATTTAAGCAGCAGGTCTAGGATTCAAAATCTTCCCAATTTCATTGCCTGTACTTTTACTATAAGACGTCAAGGAGTACCTATGTCAAACCCTTGTAAGGTGTGTGTGTGTGTGTGTGTGTGTGTGTGTGTGTGTGAGAGAGAGAGAGAGAGAGAGAGAGAGAGAGAGAGAGAGAGAAACAGGGTCTCAGCTTTGCAGACTAGCCTGGAACTATGTAGCCCCAGGATGATGGCCTTGAACTCAATTCACAACAATCCTGTCTCAGCCTCCCAAAGGCTATGCCTACAATGTGAATTGCCAGGCTCCTTGTTTGCGCACTGAATCAAGCAGATGGCAGCGGCCACATTTCCCTCCAGCACTCAGGCTTCTCATCCCAGGAAGTTGTGAAGACAACACACAAGCACAAATAAGTGGACATTTTCGTGTGAGCCATAGCCCACACACATTGTGGATAATATGCACTCCTTACAGCCAATTCACTTACAGCCAAGACCGGTATTTAGGAACTATTCTTAACCTGTAAGGAGAAACTTCTCGTGGGATAGAAAGAGGATCCATCTTCAGACCTCAGTTTTCCTGGATGGGAACTGAGGGAAAACGTCTTCCTGTATCATTAAAGTTTTTTGTTTTGTTTTTATACGTGTCGGAATAAAGATGCCAAAGTATCGTTTGGATTCTTGTCAACTGAAGAATACATGAGGCCACCCTTTCCTTTGCTTCTTAGCAGTTGGTGGCTTCCTCTGCTCCAGATATCCCCAAACTTTTACTTAAACGTTTCTAAGATTTTATTTTTAATTAGATATGTGAGGGCTGGAAATGGTGAGGGCAAGTGCCAAGTTGTAAGCTGCTTGGCACCGGTGCTGCGAACTCCCTTCACAGGAATACCAGGTTACAACTGCTAAGCCATTTCTCCAGACCCTTTCTAGTCCTTTTTATTAACCAGTTTTACTGGGAATCGCTACAACATAGCACGTGTAAACAAGAACAGCCAAAGCGCTTGCTTGGGAAAAGGTAAAAGCCCCAAAGCCGTGTTTTCGTTTTGTCTTCCTACACAGGTGGAAAGCTGAAAATCTGAAATGATTCAGAACTCATTCTCTTGAGAGTGACTAAATACCTCCTAAACATTGTCCTTAGATGCCCCCATCAAAACCTACCGCTGGAACAATCGTGCCATTTTACTTCTAGTACAGTAGCAAGTCTGGCCTTACTATATTAGCAGGCCATGGTAAATGAATAATCTCTCGGACTGTCTAGTTAGTGCGTCCAGTTAGTCCCTCGCTCCCGGCACCGCCTCCGCTCAGCCTCTTCCTGTTCTCCCGGCAGAGGCGGAGGACTGGACCAGCCAGGCCGGTCGAGCTTGCCTACCCGGGAATCCAAGGCTACCCGCACAGGATAACCGCCCTTGGCGTACCAACAGTGACCCTGGCCCTGCAGCCCCACCCTGCCCCACCCCGCCCCGCCCTGCTCCACCCCGCTCAGCGGCCTCTAAACCTTTTTCTCCGCGTAGCTCCGCCCCACCTCGTTTAGCCCGCCCCCCTCTGTTACGAGTTCTGGCTCCGCGCTCCCGTGAATGAGGTTTTTCCCGGAGAGACCACGTTTTCCCTCAAGCTCCCCAACGGCTCCGCCTTCCCGCCGGAGCCAGACCCTTCCCAGCGTGCCCGGCGATTCCGGCGTGCGCAGACCTGGGAGGGCAAGGCCCCAGGGCCTGGCGGCGGGGCGCGAGGAGCAGGCTGGGAATTGTAGTTCCCGAGTGTAGGAGGGCGGCTGGAGGCTGGACGCCGGCAGGACTCATTGTCCCAGTGTGCCCCGCGCTTCAGCCCGCGCGCTCGCAGCTCCTCGCTCTCTGCGCCCGCCCTCCCGCTCCCTTGCTTGCTCGCGCTTTCCTCGCGGACCGAAGAGACTCTAGCTACAGCTTGTGGCTGGAAGGGAGACGGAGGCCGCAGCTCAGGGAAAGTGAAGCTGCAGTAGTGGTGGTAGGAAGATGTCGGGCGAAGACGAGCAGCAGGAGCAAACTATCGCCGAGGACCTGGTCGTGACCAAGTATAAGATGGGGGGCGACATCGCCAACCGTGAGTGCGGCCTCGGGGGTCTTGGAATCGAGGCTGAGAGGGAGAGGTTTGGGGCTGTCTCCGGAGGGGCTGGAGCGGCTGGGTCTTGCGGAGTGAGCCACCGAGGGGCGCGTGCCGACGGCCGGGGGCGACGTGGTGGGGAGATCTGGTGTCGCCTCGGGGACTGAGCAGCCATGCCTGGGCTGGAGAGTGTGGAGGTGCGGGCCGGCGACCGCGAGGAGCGCAGAGAGGGGCCCAGACGTGCTCCGACCCTAGGCGGTTGGTAAGGAGGCAAGGCGCGTCGTCTTCTGCCCATCACCCTTCGGTCTGTCCGGATCTCTGCTTCCCCTGACTGGCAGCTGTGAGGCCACCTCGAAAAGGGTGCTCCCAGCTGTTGGCGACAGAAGCGTCCCTCTGGCAGCGCGGGTCTTGACCCGTAGGAGCCAGGCCGGCACGTGTTGCCAGGTCCCTGTGCCGATCGCTGGCTCCTCACTTCCCCACCACGTGCTTCAGAAAAGTCTCCACTTCAGGTCCGCCTGGTGGGGCCGCTTCTCCCCTGACCTAGCTCGAGGGACCGTTGGGGGGCACGTCTGGAGCTTCTGACACAACTCTTAGATACCTAGTTTTCTGGAAGAGGCTAATGACTGCTGCCCCAGCCTGTGAAATGGCCTTGAGTATTTGTTCTTAGAGGCTCTTGACAGTGTTCTCAGCTCCCGCTTAGACCACAGCCAGGCAAGCCGGTCATTAATGCTGAGAAGGGGCGGAGAGGGACACTGATTTTTAGGGTCATCATAAACATCTCCTGCTCTTTCTCAATAGTTGTCAGCCACTTGGGCAGATAACTTTCCACTTCATCTCCTGTCCGTCCCATGCCGTGCCCGTGCACTCCCCCTCCCCCAAGAGTTTGTAGCTCTGGCTGTCCTGTAGACCAGACTGGCCTAAGAGATAGATCCGCCTGTCTCTGCTTCCCAAGTACTGGGATTAAAGGCGTGTGCCACCACACCCAGTTCTTTCCATTTTTAAAAGCCACTTAATGGAGATAGAAACTATTAGGACTTTAAAATGATCTTGACAAAATTGAAGAAGGTATTTAGGTTGCCTTTGGTTAAACCCCAGTTTCTTCTGGATTCCAAATAATCAAAACACGAAAGAAATCAAGACTTAAATAATATCCCTATCTAGGGTGGCTTTGGTATTTGACATTATTGGTTTAAATCAGACAAAATTTCCATGTGAACACAGTACAATTTACAGCTTTAGGCAGTTGTGACTTTAGATACTTTTGAAACTGATCACGTGTCCCCTCAATCTTTGAGACCTTAGATTAATTTCCCTGGGATTATATACTTGTATATATAGGGAAATGCATTTACATCAATTGTGATTACTAACACCTAATTAGAGTGTCTAGGGAAGGAAAGAAGGTAACATTTAACAATGCTTCAACTTTGACTCAGCAATTCTATATGTACCTTCCCCTTGTCCCTGACGCCTATAAATTTCTTCGGCTCTGCCTGTGTGTGTGGGGTGTCTTGGGCACAGCTCCCTAATGTTTATGATTCTGTATACCATAACATCTTTGGAAGGTGTAAGGCTCTGGTCTATCAAGGTGTCAAGTAATTTAAAGGAGAGAAGTTAGCATTGACCTTTTTTTATTTTAGGAAAGGAAGGTAGAAAATAAGGCTGGGTGTGATGGTGCTTGCTTTTTTTCTATGTGTATGCCAGCACTTTTCAGGGAAACAAAGGCAGATGGGTCTCTCTGAATTCCAGGACAGCCAGGTGTACATAGTGAGTTCTAGGACAGCCAGAGATGTCTCAAAAAAAAAAAAAAAAAAAAAAAAAAAGCAAACAAACAGAAGGGTAGACATTGTTCCAAGACCCAAATTTTGTTTCCTTTCCTCTTTCTGCCTTAAGACAATAGCATGAGGGAGTATTGGGAAATGAATTGAGCTTCACATCTACTTAGCTGATGAAGGCATGCAGGACTGACCTGATGGGATTCTGTCCCCAGGGGTTCTCCGATCTTTGGTGGAAGCTTCCAGCTCAGGCGTGTCCGTACTGAGCCTGTGTGAGAAAGGCGATGCCATGATAATGGACGAGACAGGGAAAATCTTCAAGAAGGAAAAAGAGATGAAAAAAGGTAAAAGGGAAAGAATTCCCTGCCTGATTTCTCTCGTTTGATCCCATCCATCCATCAATCCCCACCCCAACATCCACCCCTTCTCAGATTAAAATACTTGGAAATCTGGAGTAACAAATGGGATGGGTGTAGTTTCTTTCCCAATCTAAACTGAGTAAGTTTAAGCGAGTCCCTGAAACAGAAGCCCTTCATCTTTCTAAAGGGCAGCAAGTGTTGCCAAGGCAGAGAGAGCAAGGCAGTAAGGCTGATGATTCTTTTTACAGGTATTGCCTTTCCTACCAGCATTTCCGTAAATAACTGTGTATGTCACTTCTCCCCTTTGAAGAGTGATCAGGACTATATACTCAAGGAAGGTGACTTGGTAAAAATGTAAGGTTAAGCCATTCTGGAGTATTTGTCATTTTCCTACACATTTACACGCTATCAGTTCCTAATGAATATTCTGTCCTTGCCTCTCAGTGACCTTGGGGTCCATGTGGATGGCTTCATTGCTAATGTGGCTCACACTTTCGTCATCGGTGTAGCTCAGGTAGGTAGCATGTTTTTCCAGGTTGCTAAGGGGATGTAATATACTCCACTCTTAAGTACCACATCATTGTAGAGTGTCTAGAGAATCAAAAAGAAACCATATTCTGGTGTTGTGTGATTGGCTAGCCTTGAATATGAACACATATAGTGAGCTTCCCAAGTGATATTGGCTATATTTCTCCACAGGGCACCCAGGTGACAGGCCGGAAAGCAGATGTCATTAAGGCAGCTCATCTTTGTGCCGAAGCTGCCTTGAGACTGGTCAAACCCGGAAACCAGGTAGGGTGCTTCCTTCCTGTTGTAAAAAATGAATCAGGCACTCCTGGAAAGTAATTAACTAAGTATCTACCACAGTACATGCAGGGTATATAGGGGTGTAACTTCTTACTGTGGAACTATAAAGGTTACTTCTAGACTTTGCATGTGCACTCTAACCCCAAAATAATTTGGAGTAAGTAACTAACAACAAAACTATGCATGAAAAGGATAGAAAAAGTGCTGGCAAATTCGTGGCTAAAAGACCAGAATTATTCAGTTGTTTGGAGGAGGGTATGAGGAAGCCCAGATCTGGTGGAGTTCTCCGGAGCTCACATTAATAGTGTTAGGTCGCCGGTGAGTTATCTCTGGAGTCACTCACACAGAACCACTCAATACTTACGATGTCTTATGTGCTCTTGTTCCTCGCACCTGTGTTCAGTTTGTACTAAATCCTCATAATTGATCTGCATGCTTTTTACCTAAAATTCTGCCCCATTTCCTTATAATATTGACTAAAGTTGTTTTCAAGCTCTTTGAACAGTGCCTACCTAGCCTGTATTAATTTCTTAAATTACTTGTTTTTATTATTTTATATACTTGTTATTCTTGTTGGTTATTTTCATAATAGTCTATAGCTGTGGAATCATGCCATCTTGCACATTACTTTTTTTTTTTTTTTTTTTTTTTCAAGACAGGGTGGGGTTTCTGTGTAGCCTTGGTTGTCCTGTAACTCACTCTGTGACCAGGCTGGCCTTGAACTCCCAAAGAGATCTGCTTGCCTCTTCCTCCCAAGTGCTGGGGTTAAAAGTGTATGCCACCACTGCCCTGGATATTTACCATTTTTTTTAAAGCCACCCCACCCCCCATTCTGTCTTGAGAATCGGGTGTGTACCACCACACCTAGTCAAGAGTAGTATTGAGCTCAAATTTCCTGTGAAATTGAACCATGGCTCTTGTGTCAGAAGAATGAAATTAGTGTCTTGGGTAAGGAGGAATTTTAGGACCAGAAAGGACTCTTGGTTGCCAAGCCTGCTGACCTGTTGATCCCTAGGACCTACCTGGAAGAGAGTGAGAACTGACTTTTGTTTGTTTTGACAGAGGCCTTATTCTTTGTGGGCCAGGCTAGCCTTGAACTCCTGTCTGTCTCCCAGGTCTCTAAAGGCTTGCACAGGATTTAGTTTGAGGCAGGGTTTCTCTTTGTAGCCCTGGCTGTCCTGGAACTCACTGTAGACCAGGCTGTAGCACCACAGCCTGGCTGCATTTTTACAGTACATAGTTTTACAATACAATAGTTTGTAGGAATGATGATTGTGAGTAAGAATTGCTGGCACTTGATGAGGGATGTCAGAAAAATCTATCACGAGAATAAGTTGGAAAGAGCAGGCCACTCACCTTTCCCTCGCTCTTGTACTTCTAGAACACACAAGTAACAGAAGCCTGGAACAAAGTTGCTCACTCATTTAATTGCACACCAATTGAAGGTGAGACTTCTGATACTGGGGTTAAAGGTCTGACAGTGGGTGGTGTGGTAGGAATAAGGATCCATCCTGGCTCTGGCTTTGCTGAGGCAGAGCCTCTCTATGTCCCTTTCCACAGCCAGGCACAACATACCATCAAACTACTTACGGGAGTAGATTTGGAAGCTGTAGACTGGGGGGGGGGGAGGCATACAGCTTACGGGAGTAGATTTGGAAGCTGTAGACTGAGCGGGGGAGGCATACAGCTGGTGCCATGGGCTTTGTACCCTGTGTGCAGGTATGCTGTCACACCAGTTGAAGCAGCACGTCATCGATGGAGAGAAAACCATCATACAGAACCCTACAGACCAGCAGAAGTAGGTGCCAGCCCCATCCTTTGCCTTTTACCGTACGTTCTGTAGTAGCTGTCAGGGTTTATTTACTCTTGCCCATACTTTGACCACGGTTACCTTCTCCAAATTACTAGAGCTTACTTATCAGGTTTTGTGTGTTGTTGTTGGGGTTTTTGTCTCTCTGTCCTGGAACTCCGATCTGTAGATCTGCCTGCTGGGATTAAAGGCGTGCTCCAACCCTGCCTTGCCTCCCCACCCTCCCCTAAGGATTTTAATTACATCTGTATCTGTCTAGACATTTGAGTGCAGATAGCCCTAGAAGCCAGAGACACACGCCTTTAATCCCAGCACTTGGGGGGGCAGAGGCAGGCGGATCTCTGAGTTCTAGGCCAGACTGGTCTACAGAGTTCTAGGGACTGGCTTCAAAGCAAGACAGAAACCTTGTCTCAAAAAACCAGAGAGAGAGAGAGAGAAGCCAAAGGTATCAATACCTTTGGTGCTGCTTAGGGTGCTGAGAACTCAGGGCCTAAGGATCCATATGTGCTCTTAATTACTGAGTCGTCTTTCTTCTGGGTAGTTGTCACAGTATAGTCCTGACTGGCCTAGAGCTTGCAATGACCCTTCCCTTCAGCCTCCTGACGCTGAGATCACAGGCTTGCATCATATGTCTGTGCCTAGCTTACTCTTAGGGTTCCCTCTATTCCTTTTAGGAAGGACCATGAAAAGGCTGAGTTTGAGGTACATGAAGTTTATGCTGTGGATGTCCTTGTCAGCTCAGGAGAAGGCAAGGTAAGAATTCCATAATAAGCAAAAGGGGTAACTTGAAAGTGGGTTTACCAGACCATATTTGACGTAACTTAACTCTCTTAGGCCAAAGATGCAGGACAGAGAACCACCATTTACAAACGAGACCCCTCTAAGCAATATGGCCTGAAAATGAAAACTTCACGTGCCTTTTTCAGTGAGGTGGAAAGGCGTTTTGATGCCATGCCGTTTACTTTAAGGTACTACGTATAGCAAGAACAGGACTGGAAACCAGGCTGACTCAGCTTGTATACCCAGAAGCGTCCTCCCTTCCCTTGGCCCTCCCTCACCTCCCCCCCTCCCTTCCTCCCCCTCTCCCTCCTGTCCAGACTGGTAGCTCCTGCCTGGATGCACGTCCTCTGTCCTACCCATCTCCTTGTTGGATATAATATAGAAGAGCAATCCCAGACATAGTTTCTGCATGAAGATAGAGATTTCAAACATGCATGACTGAGTATGGTAGCAATGCTTGTGATGCCAGTACTCCAGGGGCTGAGGCAGAGGAGTTTTTAAGTTAGCCTGAGCCACACTGAGCAAGAACTTGTCTTAACGACAGGGCCAGTTGCTTGTGCAGTTGCAGGTCAAGAGCTGTGCAAGACTGCCAACCTAAGCTCAACCCCAGAAACCCACGCAACAATAGAAGGGTAAACCAACTCCAGAAAGTTGTCCTCTGGCCTGCACACCCATGCCCTGCCCTCCAGCCCCCATCATACCTGTAATCACACTAATTTAAAAAAAAAAAAAAAGTGACGACCTGGTAGGTTGTTAGAGACCTGAATGTTGTCTGTCTTCGCAGAGCATTTGAAGATGAGAAGAAGGCTCGAATGGGTGTAGTGGAGTGTGCCAAACATGAGTTACTGCAGCCATTTAATGTTCTCTATGAGAAGGAGGGTAAGTCTTAAGAGGGTTTCAGAGTTCCCAGTTACACTTCCCTCCCTTGAACTTCAGAGTATGACTGGAACTAATTTTTCCCGTAGGTGAATTTGTTGCCCAGTTTAAATTTACAGTCCTACTCATGCCCAACGGCCCCATGCGGATAACCAGTGGTCCCTTTGAGCCTGACCTCTACAAGTCTGAGATGGAAGTCCAGGATGCAGAGCTAAAGGTTAGCGAGTGGAAAATGGTGAACATGGCACATTGACTTGCTGTGAGTCCTCCAAGGAATTACCCGAGTAGGCGAGTGTTTGTCCATTTCTCAGGGTTTGCCTTCTTCCCGTCTTCTAGGCACTTCTCCAGAGTTCTGCAAGTCGAAAAACCCAGAAAAAGAAGAAAAAGAAGGTGTGTGATGATCTTTTTTCTGGTGATGGTGGGGTATGAGCCCACCGTTCTCTGCTTCAGAGAAGTTGGGAATCGATGTCTTCCTTGTTTGTTTTGGGAATGCAGGCCTCCAAGACCGCAGAGAATGCCACCAGTGGAGAAACATTGGAAGAGAATGAGGCTGGGGACTGAGGTGGGTCCCATATCCCCAGCTTGTCACTCCTGCCTCGTCCCCTTCCCACCGCACCCCAGGCTCTGAAGTGCAGTTGTCTTCTACACCCAAGACCACCAGCAGAGCGAGCGGGGCCCACATCCCAGACATCCCAGTTCCCACACCCACTCACCCACCCACTCTTTCCAACAACAAACCAGCTCCAATTGACTCTGGTCTTGGGAGGCCAGGCCTCCCGGCCCGCCATTGAAGACTACTTTCAGTAGAAAAAGAAATTTGAATAATAAAATCAGGAGTCAAAACCCATCGTCTTCAAGCCCCTCTTTCTGGCCTTTTCTACTCTGCTTGGTCAAGGTTTGTGGCCCACAACAGAACAAAGGAGGCTAAGTTAGCCACCACCACTGAAACCTCAGCTGAAATTTTTTATGTCACTGACGTCATTTTTCTCGTTCTTTTGGGGGCTTTACTGTTTTCCACTGTGCCGAGTATTTAATCTGCCTTCAAAGAGGAGGACCATATATTTTTTATTCACCTATGGCAGATCGCTCATGATAAAGGGTTAGGGTTAGACCCTTACCATTTCAGATGCTGAAGTCTTCATTAAAACATCTCTCATTAGTCATTTTTGTTTTTCAAAGTCTCTGCATCTACCCATTGATAATTTTTTTTTCCCCCACTTGTAAAGCAGTTGCCACCCCCATCATGTTGTTGGGTTTGTTTCTTCTGCCCCTCCTTCCTGCCCTGGAACCAATGGGTTTTCCTCAGGATCCACCTTAGAACCTACATTGAAAATCCCACTCTTGAATTTTTTGCTCCAGATTTTTTTTTTTTTTTTTTTTTTTTTTTTTTGGTTTGAGACAGGATCTCACTATGTAGCTCTGGCTGTCCTGGAACTCACTCTGTAGATCAGGCTGGCCTTAAACTCAGAGATCCACCTGCCTCATGAGCACTGGAACCAAAGGCGTGCACCACCACGCCCAGCTTCCTGTTTGAAATATTTTGAGTTCCTTCCCAAGAAAGAAAAACCAGGAACCAGAGGAGTAGACGGAAGAGACTGAGACTGAACTTGGAAGGCGCTGGGGTTGTAGAGAAGGTTACAGTTTGTACCTCTGGCATGCTGTCCCAGGGAGTCTAGGCTCCCACTCATGCAGTTTTTGAATTGACATGGCATTAAAATAAATTTGGATTTGCTCATTATGTAATACATTTGTTCTTTTGTTCTTTACGGCGATGGTGTATATGGAACACATTCTGTATAGATTCTCTGTGTAGCCCTGGCTGTTCCTAGAAAACACTGCAGATGGGGCTGGCCTTGAACTCAGACCTCCCTCCTAGTAGAACTAAATGTGTGCACCACCACTGTGTAGCTGAACTACCCTTTTTTTTTTTTTTTTTTTTTTTTTTTTTAAATTATTACATATAGTGTTCTGCCTATATGTGTGCCTGCACACCAGATGTTATTACAGGATCCCAGTACTGGGTACTGGGAATTGAACTCAGAACCTCCAGAAGAACATCTAGTATTCAACCTCTGAGCCATCTCTCTGGTGCCCTGAACTACCTCTCTAGCTTTTCCTGTTTGCTTGCAGAGGCTGGAAGACTGTCACTCAAGGAAATGATCAGTTAGGAAGTAACATCTTAGCATCTTTTTTTGGAACAGTTTTCTCTGTAGCCCTGGCTATCCTGAAACTTGGTAGACCAATCTGGCTTTAAATTTTCAGATCCCTCTGCCTCCCAAGTGCTAGGTTTAAAGGCATGTGCCACCAAACCTGGTATACAATTCTCAAAATAACTACTTAATCTGGAATTTTGATAATTTAAAGTATGCAAGCATTGTTATATTAGGACTGGGCACTCTGTTAAAGTCAACGAGGCAAGTGGGTGGGTGGGTGGGGATCTCTGTGCATTCGAGGCAAGCACTCTGCCAACTGAACTACATCCCCTAGTTACCCGGAAATCTGTTAGACACATTTTCAGTGCCAAGCCATGCCGGTCCTGAGTAATGTTACTATGTGTGAGGCCCCTCTGAGCTATGAATGCTTCGGTGAGCAAAGGCTGAAGGGTGGATATGTACATCCTCTGTTACAAAGTACAGAGTAGGTTTGCTTTGGTTTTCCTGGGCTCTGAGTTCTGTCCTCAAACTTGTGGTGATAATTCCCCTGCCTCAGCTGTTCAGGATGCCATTCCGATTGGTAGTAGACTTGCTTATTGAGAGATTGGGAACAAGCAACAATGTGGAGAAGTCTTAATTTCTCTGCAAACCTAAAGCCATTATAAACATGAATCATATAAATTGGTAATAAGGATTTGCAAAATGTTCTTTTTTCTTATTCTGAGATTAGCTCAGGCTGTAAAATCATTCTGTTAAGAGCTTTTAGGAACTAGCTCAAGCTGGAATTATAGCTCAGTTGGTAGTGCTTAAATTTGCAAAATCCTATCTCAAAATTTAAAGGGCTACACTGGATTGTGATGCCTACATTAATCCCAGTGCTCTGGAGGCAAAGGCAGGTAGATCTTTTGTTCCAAGACAAACAGGGCCTATCTGTTGACCAAGTTTCTGAAAAATAGCAGTTTGTCCTATCTGTTCTGGAACTCACTGTGTAGACCAGGTAGCCTCAAATTTACAGAAATCCACCAAGTGCTAGGTTCATACACCACCATTCCTGGCCACAGTGAGGAAATATTAAGGAAACTACTGGAGGGAAGGATTTATAACTTGCATACACATAAAAACCTCTTTAAATATTGAGCCAGGTATGGCTTTACACATCTTTTAATCCCAGTTTTTGAGAGGCCAATGTCTGGGTCTGGCTATTGTTATCTATGCATCCTGGCTGGCCAAGGCTACACTTAGTGAGACCCTGTCTCAAAACAAAAATCTCGGAAGTATTTTAACAAGATGAAGGTTTCTACGCTTGTTTCTGAGTTTTTATGTAGACTGGCCCTTGAATCTGCTATGTATCACAAACTAGCATAGAATTTATGATCCTTCCACTTCAGCCTTCTAAATGCTAAATGTGCTACTATGCCTGCTCTCTCTTTGGAATTCAAGACATACCCCAGTACACCTGGCCTTTTCTCCCTTTCTTTTCAAATCTTTAACTCTTCCATAGTTTTGTTTTTTTTTTTTGGTTGTTTCCCCCCCACCCTGAGACAGGGTTTCTCTGTGTAAAGGCCCTGGTTGTCCTGAAACTCACTTTGTAGACCAGGCTGGCCTTGAACTCACTGAGGTCTGCCTGCCCCTGCCTCCTAGTGCTGGGATTAGAGGTGTGCACCACCCTACCCAGGTTCCCCCGTATACACCCTACACAAATACAAGGTCTTAAGTAGCACTGACAAGCCTGGAACTCACTGGGTAGAATAGGCTGGCTTCAAACTCATCACCTTGCAATCATCTGGTGGATGGGATTAAAGGTGTATGGCACATATTCTGGTAGCCAAATATCCCGGGAACTGCTTTCAGTAATTCAGGTAGTTATCGCCTGACAATAAGACTGGAAAGAAGGTTTTATGGTTTTTGTCTTGGTTTTTTTTTTTTTTTTTTTTTTTTTTTTTTTGTTTTGTTTTTGTTTTTTTTGAGACAGGGTTTTTCTGTGTAGCCAATGGCTGTCCTCACAGAGATCCGCCTGCCTCTGCCTCCTGAGTGCTGGGTGCTGGGATTAAAGGTGTGCATCACCATTGCCTGGCTGGGAAAATACTTTGCAGAGCTAATCCAGATCTAATCTGGGTCACGGTTTCTGCTGTAATCCTATGTAAGGACATGGAGGAGGGAGGCTTTTGCTCTTTGCCTGCTAGCAAGCCCATTCCTACACTAGCATTAGAGCCAATTTATGCAGGATCCCAGCATAAACTGAAGAGCAGCTGAGACTTCCAGCCTCGTGGACTGAGAAACTACTGGACTCTTGGACTTTCCTTTTCACAGTTGGCCAGAGTTGGATTAGCCACTCTGTAGCCTGTAAATCATTCTAATAAATCCCCTTCTATAAATTCTTTTGTCCTTGAGAACCCTAATACATTACCCTAAAAGATGAGTTCAAGGACTCCTCTAAGCCAGGTGTGGTGGCGCACACCTTTAATCCTAGCACTGGGGAGACAGAGCCAGGTGGATCTCCATGAGCCTGAACTACACATCAAATTCCAGAACAGCCAGGGTAACACAGAGAAACCCTGTCTTAAAAAACCAAGAGACTCTTTCAAAACAAAGCAGTAGTATGTGACAGGTGTGGTCCAGAGGACCTGAGTTCATTCCCATGCTGGGCAGTGCACAACAGCTTGTGAAGATGGCTTCGGGGAATCCAAATGCCCCTTCTGGCCTCAGTTGGCACCTGCATGCCCCTGCTATATAAACAGAGACACAAATTTTAAAACATTACCAGGTATAGTGGCTTAAAATCAAAGCACCACGATTATGTCTTTGTAGCAGGGAAGCTTTGTCAACTTGATGTTTTACACCCTCCCATTTCTAATTTTTTTTTTTTTTTTTTTTTGTCTGTTTTGTTGTTTTGAGACAGGGTTTCTCTGTGTAGCTCTGGCTGCTCTGGAACTCGCTCTGTAGACCAGGCTGGGCTTGAAGGAACAGATCCAACTACCACAGCTTCCAGAGTGCTGGGATTAAAGGCGTGTGATACCCGTGTTCAGCTGTTTCTAAATCTTAAATCTCTAGGATTTTGGAGATCAACTATTTACTCAGCCCGTTTAACTGGGGGGGGGGGGGGTTTCTGGGGCCATTAAACCAAAATGAAATTACGCTTTATTTATTTATTTATTTATGCATTTTTTTTACTTTAGGTAGGGCCTCATAATGTAGACCAGGCTGATTGACAAGAGACATCTTCCTGCCTCTGCATCTGCCTCCCAAGGGTCCCAAGAGTTGGTAATAAAGGCGTGCACCAAAGGTCAAGCCAAAGCCAGTAATTTTTTCTTTTTAAGTTCTTTGAGACAAGTTCTCTGTAGTCCTGGCTGTTCTGGAACTCACGCTGTAGACCAGGCTGACCTTGAACTCACAGAGATCCATCCACCTGTCTCTGCTGAGAGTAAAGGCGTGCGCCACCGCCCGGCTAAAACCAGTAATCCTTACTACAAGCCACTCCTATACATAATAAAATGGAGGTATTCACCAAGAAACTGCAACTCCCAAGAAGCAACGCGGGAGAAATCGGGAGTTACATTTTCCCCATCTACTTTTCTTCATACCCACACTGGAAACAGGTGCTCGTGATGAAATAATACAAGGTCCTTAAAACAAATTTTAGAGAAGGTGGGGCTTGATACTCGCACTCAAAATATTTTGTTTCCTCCAGTAAACAGCCGGAAGTTACTGTTCCTGGTTCGAGCCGCCCCTCCCCTTGGGGGAAACGGGAGGTGTCACCGGAAGTGACGACACTGAGCACGGCCTTAAAAAGCAGTAGGCCGCTTTCCGCCGCTCTCTCGGCCTTAACGCCATCTTCTTCGGTGAGTGTTTGTCTCCTCTGTGTTCGGGCTTTCGAGAGCAATCCGTTGGCATCTGATCTCTACATCTGCCGTCACCGCAGCTAACTAACTGTAACCTTTTCTCTTTCGCCCTAGAGACTCCTGCGCCATGAGAGCGAAGGTGAGCATCTCTTAAGCGTTGAGCTTGGGCGGTGGGAGGAGGGCGAGGCAGTGGATCTCCGCCATCGTTCCTCCTGTGTGTGGATTGCAAAGGTGCTCAAGGGGTGCTAGGGAGAGGACGTTTGGAGCCTTGGTAAGGTGGAGAGAGGACCGGGGAGGGAAAACGCGGGATGAGGCGAGCCGGGGTCTGAACAGCCGGTGTTGCTTCCAGCTCTTTCGGAAAGCCGTTTCCATGAATAGTAATTGTTGCTACCTAAGCCTATTGCTAACATACTTTTTTTTTTTTTTTGCCCCCCTCACGTGATCGCGTTTTTAGTGGAGGAAGAAGCGAATGCGCAGGTATGTTGCTTGGCTCCGGAGGGCAGTGGGGCGAAGCCTAGTGGGTTATCGTTGAACCTAGAAAAATGTCGTGGAGGAGGCGGGCGCCTGGACCCAGTGCAGTGAGAACTCCAGCGCCTGTGGAACTCGGCAGCTCTTATGTGCGGTGCAGATTGGTGCCCGGTTGAAAGGAGAGAAGACCCAGCGGGTTTGTGTGCTTTGCGTTCCAGGCTGAAGCGCAAGAGAAGAAAGATGAGGCAGAGGTCCAAGTAAAGCGGCCTCGCTGGCCGAGGAGCAGAAGTGAGGGATGCTGAAGGCCGGGACGGGATGCTGGTACAAGCTGACGACTGTGCTGCTGCCGGCCTGAGGGTCCGTGCAGCCTCATCACCGCCTGCTCCGCAGAGACACCGCCTCGGAGACGCGCCTGGCTTCCCCACGACCCCAGCAGCCCGGCTGGCCCTCGGCCTGGACCCGCGGCGTCCTGGACTCGTTCTGTTCTCTCTCTGGCCAAGTGTAGCCCGTGTACAATAAACCATCTTTCCCGCTGTTTCAGCTGAAGAATCAAACCGCTGTCACGTGTTTTTTGCGGCTCGATTGGGGTGGGGATCTTTTACTGTGGTGTAGTTTGGTCTGTGCTGCGCAGTGTCCAGGAGCCTGCGTGGGCGACAGCCCCAGCCCGCGTGTGGCCTGGCTGGAACCGGGAGTCGCCGGTGCGCTTCGCCCCTGAGGCCACGGAACCAAGCGCCTTGCGTCCCGCCGTTCCGTAGGGGGCGCGCACGAGCTTATGCGTCCGTGTTCCGGGTCCGGCTAGGTCGTGTTGCCATGGTGACGCGCAAGGCTTGCTGGGAGCTTCCTGCGGCCGGCCGCACGCAAGGTAGACCATAGAGTGTGGTTCCGGGTCCGGCGCCTAGAGCGTCCCTCCTTCCGCAGGAAGCGGAAGAGCCTTAGGGTGGGCGGCTCTTTGTCGAAGCTAGAGGACCGGCAGGCGGCAGCAGCAACTACGGCGGCGGCGGCAGGTGAGGGAGGCGGGAGACTTAGGTGGAGGCCGCGCCCGGAGGGGAGGAGCCGGGCCGGCCCAGCGGCTGGGCTGCGCCGGGCGCTCGAGCCCCCGCCCGGCCCGGCCCGGCCCGGCTCCCCAGGACAGAGCCCCTTCTCCGACTGACCCCGCTCCACGAGCAAACGCCAGCCCCGTGACGTCACAGCCCTGCCCATCCCCTCAGCCTGATGTCACCCCCTCCCCGCTCACGGTGTCCTAGTCACCTGGCCCACGGCTGAGCTAGCGCTGGCGCCGCTTGGCGGAGCCGGCCGGGCCACACGACTTTCCGCGAAGTCCAGGCTGGTGGGGACCGTTTGAGTCACCGCCCCCAAGCCTAAGCTCGCCTTCCCACCCTACTGTCTGTCAGTCGTTGCCCTGGTCCAGCTCTCAGGCTCTCAGGCTCGGCGTCCCGAACTCCAACCCTAGATCGGACTCTGACCCCCATATCCTTCTCATCTTGAGGTAAAGGCCCCCTCACCCTTCACCGAGAACTGGTTTTTGTTTTGCGTTTTTGTTTTCGTTTTTGCAACCTAGCTTCCCTCGCTTTATTGGTCGGCTCTACCCCCTTATCCTTCTCCCTCTGAGAGGCGACGTTCAGTTTGAACTTGTAAGAGAATCTGAAAACCCACAGAGCTCTTAGCGTTCTGTCAGAATTCATTCCAGTTCACGAAAACCACCCCATAAGCCCTTCACGCTCTTCCCCCCAAATCTCCGGTTTGTTTCGTTTGTTTCTTGTTCAGAACACAGCAGTGATGTTGCAGTGGACACTCACAGGAGCCCCGGACTTCACCTGAGCTACCTCAGGTATTAACTCTGGGACAATTGGGTCACATCCGGTATCTGCTCTCGTAGGACTTGAGAGGACCGGTCAGGCTTTGAAGACCTGGTCGTTTTTGTTTACCTGGTCGTTTTTCTCTGCTAAGGGTCTGCCATCTCTTCATCACTTGTTTCTTTAATCCTGGGGCTACTCATGTTCGTTGTGCCGATGCCTGTGTGTGCCTCTGGCTTCTGATCTGGTTAAGCCATCTTAGGGCAATCTAAAGGCAAAGCCAAGGAAATGGTATGAATGGGATAAGTCAAAACCAGGGAAATAGGAAGATATCCTTATGCCCAAAGGGACATGTATGAACTCCTTTTGGACAGCAGGGGGAGCCTGAATACTACTTAGGAAGCCTTTGGAAGATTTGACACGTGGTGGTGGCAGGGACTCCCAGCCTTACTTGGGGGATGGGGAGAAGGGGGGGCCAGAATTAGGGCAGTGGACTGACATTCCAGGGCTCTCTTGGGAAACAGGAGACTTAAAAAGCTTTTATAGAGTCTATAAATAAAGAGGATTTTTATGGGGGTAGGGAGGTGCCATGGTTTGATATTAGTGGGATGTTTTCATGGGGTGGGCTGGAAGGTGTCACCACTGTTCCTTTGAAATTAACCCCTTCCCACAGTTTTGTTCTGGGGACCTAGAGGTAGAGATGTGAGCTTACAGCTTCTTTGCCTGAAGTGGAGGGGGTCTGTGTGTGTAGAGGAGGCTGGGAGATTGAGTAACAGCTTTAAGGGCTGCCCGCCCTCCAAGGATTGACAGCTGTCACCTGAAGAACCACCCAGGATTTCTAAAGTACTTAAGATCACATGGAGGAGGGGTTAAGGGACATTTTGTTATTGGTACCCCTTTACCCACAAGATCTCAAAGCTAAACAGCCCATGTTAGGGCACCCAGTCTGTTCACGCACCTGTTCTAATTTCTCACCCACAACTTCAGTAAGAAGGGAAGGTAAACTCTAACTCTAGTCTCTCCCTGCCCCCTCCCGGCTCATCATTAGTTAGCAACGGTGGTTTCATCCCAGCTCTCTCTCCTCCCTTAGCCAGGCAAGTGTGAATCACTCCAACCAAGACCAGGTGCACAAGGGCCTGGGCGGGACTTCTTGCAAGTCAGCCAGGCCAGCTAGAATTCTCCTCCCTTAGACTCTCCATCTCCAAAGCCATTGCCCCAGAAGACTGGCTACTGTATGGTCAGGAAGAGCAGGAGCCTACCGGAGGACCCGTTTGACACATTCTCTTTTTTAACAGTCACCAAGAGTGGCAAGAAAAGGAAGAAAACCCTGAGTTGGGGACCAGGATGCCTGACCGGGACAACTATGCCAACGGCACTGGGAACAGCAGTGGAGGCCCTGGAGGCGGCAGTGAGGACGCCGGTGGTGCAGGGACAGGCAGTGGGGGGGCCACCTCAGATGCCATCTGCAGAGACTTCCTGAGGAATGTGTGCAAGCGAGGCAAGCGTTGCCGATACCGCCACCCAGACATGAGTGAGGTGTCCAACTTGGGGGTGAGCAAAAATGAATTTATTTTCTGCCATGACTTCCAAAACAAAGAGTGTAGCCGCCCAAACTGCCGTTTCATCCATGGCTCCAAGGAAGATGAGGATGGGTATAAGAAGACGGGAGAGCTACCTCCTCGGCTCAGGCAGAAAGTGGCAGCTGGGCTGGGCCTTTCACCTGCTGACCTACCCAATGGCAAGGAGGAGGTCCCTATCTGCCGCGACTTCCTCAAAGGTGACTGTCAGAGAGGCACCAAGTGCAAGTTCCGCCATCTGCAAAGGGACTTTGAGTTTGATGCCCGAGGTGGTGGAGGTGCTGGAGGTGGAGGGTCAACAGGCACTGTTCCCTCGGGACGACGCCATGATCTCTACGATATCTATGACCTTCCTGAAAGGGGCTTTGAGGACCACGAGCCAGGCCCTAAGCGCCGGAGAGGTGGATGCTGCCCTTCCGATGGCCCCCATTTTGAATCCTATGAGTATGGTCTGGCCCCATCCCGTGGAGTGGAGTGCAGACTGTTGGAAGAGGAGAATGCCATGCTCAGGAAACGAGTGGAGGAGCTAAAGAAACAGGTCAACAACCTACTGGCCACCAACGAGGTACTTCTGGAACAGAATGCCCAGTTCCGCAATCAGGCCAAGGTCATGACCCTGAGCTCTACTGCACCAGCAACTGAGCAAACTCTGGCCCCCACTGTGGGCACCGTGGCCACTTTTAACCATGGCATTGCCCAGACCCACACCACCCTGAGCAGCCAGGCTCTACAGCCTCGCGCTGTGTCCCAGCAAGAACTCGTGGCCCCCGCTGGAGCCCCAGCTGCTCCCCCAACCAATGCTGCACCCCCTGCTGCTCCACCACCACCACCTCCACACTTGAACCCAGAGATCACGCCACTGTCAGCCGCTTTGGCTCAAACCATCGCCCAGGGGATGGCACCGCCACCTGTTTCCATGGCCCCTGTAGCTGTGTCTGTGGCTCCTGTGGCTCCTGTGGCTGTGTCCATGGCCCAGCCCTTGGCAGGGATCACAATGAGCCACACGACGACTCCTATGGTGACTTATCCCATTGCTTCCCAGAGCATGCGTATCACAGCCATGCCACACTGACGGGATTAATGGGCACTCCCTGTTACAGCGGCAGAGGGCTGGGGTCAGAGGACCCGCCCCTCCAGGCCCTGTCTGAAGGGCCACTCAAAAACTAGGACAAGAGACTGCAAGGAATATACTTCGTAGGAGCAACTCCTGAGGCAGGGTTGTGCTGGTGTTCTCTCCACTCTTGAGAGGGTCCTCTTGTCCTTCAGGCCTCACTCATACAGAGGCTTGCATAGGGAAGAAAGGACTAAGGGACTGCGTTCACTCATAGGAAGTTGGAGATCTCTCTGGTCTTGTCCTCACTTGTGAACAACCAGGTCCAGCACTGGTATGGGAAGAGAAAAATTCCCCACCCAGAGGGAGAGGCAGGAGAGATGGGGAAATGGGTGGTCAGGAGAGAAGGCCTCACACAAGCCTTCAGCTGGTTTGGGGCCCAGAAGCAGTTCTGGGCCCCTGGGAAGGCTGGGACCATAATACTCCAACCCAAAGACTAGGGGAACATTCACTTACCAAGCTTGGCCTGGAAATCTGTAGGGCAGTGCCCACTACTTTCCAAAGAAATAAAAGATTATTTTTTAACAAAGGAAGTAAGTGAAAATTGATTAGTTGGCTATTGGGAAAGATGGGATATAAAGTAGACTTAATGCCAAAAGTAAGGTAAAGACCCACCTTTAGAGCTTGTGTAAGTTGTTTAGAGACGTAAAATGCCCAGTGGGACTTGGGTCTGGGGAAGGCACTCTGTGGGATAAGAGACACGGAGCCACCTCGTCTAGTTTAAAAATAGCCCCATCTGTTGCTAGCCTCTGTCTTCATGTGCTGTTCCCAGGTTGCCTGAGTAACCAGGGCTCTTAGGGTCATTTAGGGGGGCAGGTACTAAGGAGGGTATACGTACTGAGAAATGGGGATCTGGGGTGTTAGGTAGTTGACAGATACTTCCCTCGTTCAAACAGTAGGACAGGTGGTGTTGCCTCTTGGAGTTGTTGATGGCAGTTTGTGTCCTGCTGCTCCAACACGTCTTCGTGGCCAGAGCTTTAAGCTTTCCAGGCTTCAGATACGCTAGGAAAAGGCAGATGTGATATTAGTAGACCTCTAATCCTAGCACGTGGCAGAGGAGTGGACCAGAGGAT